ACTGTTCAGAAATACAAAAGGTGAAACCGTACACAGTCAAACTAAATGTCGAGGGACAAGATGTGAGTTTTGAACTGGACACAGGTTGTGGCCTGACGGTTATGAATGAAGCCAGCTTCAAATCCACCTGGAAAGAATCATTGAGCCCTAAATTGGAACATGTACAAATTAAACTAGAAACCTATGCATGTGAACCTATTAAGGTGATAGGAGCAGCTTACGTGGATGTCACGTACCATCAGCAGAGAAAAAGGCTTCCTCTCATTGTGGTCGAGGTAGAAGGACCTAGTTTTCTAGGCCAAGGCTGGTTGGAACAGATAAAGCTGTGTTGGGGAGAAATCCTGAATGTGAGTATAAAGGAAACTGAGGAGGCCCTTAAAGCGACATTGCAGGGAATACTGCAACGTCACGAGGAAGTTTTCAAAGAGGAATTACGAACTCTCAAGGGGATGACAGTGACTGTACATGTAAAACCAGGGTCTGTGCCAAAGTTCTTCCGTCCCAGATCTGTACCTTTCGCTATGCGGTCTAAAGTCGAGGCAGAAATTAGCAGACTGGTGAACGAAAACAATCAACCCTGTGAAGTACTCAGAGTGGGCAGTGCCGGTTGTACCCATCCTCAAGCCTGATGGTTCCATTAGACTGTGTGGAGATTATAAGCTCACGATAAACCAGGCCTCACCTTTAGAACAATATCCCATACCACGAGTGGAGGACCTCTTCACAACCTTGTCCAGGGGCTCGTCTTTTTCAAAGCTGGAAATGAGCCATGCCTACCTGCAGATCATAATGGACGAAAATTCCAAGCAGTATCTCACCATCAACACCCATAAAGGAATGTTCACATATAATCGCCTTCCCTTTGGAGTGGCTTCGACGCCTGCAATATTTCAAAGGACTATCGAAGGGTTGCTGCGAGGATTAACCCATGTGGCTGTCTATCTTGATGATATCCTGGTCACTGGGGTGACGGATGAAGAGCACTTGCAAACCCTGGATGTTGTGCTCACTCGGCTACAAGATGCTGGTCTGCGCCTAAAAAGGAACAAATGTGAATTCCTTCAAAAAGAAGTGCATTACTTGGGTTATCTGGTGGATGCCCAGGGTTTACACCCACTAAAAGACAAGGTGCAAGCATTGACAGAGGCTCCGTGTCCTACCAATGTCACTGAATTAAAAGCCTACTTGGGGTTGCTGAATTACTATAACAAGTTTCTACCTAATTTGTCCAGTGTCCTAGCTCCCCTCCACAGACTGTTAAGAAAGGGAACTCAATGGTGCTGGGGCGATTCCCAAACTAAGGCTTTCCTGAAATCAAAGGAACTTCTACAGTCTGCAGATGTGTGAGTACACTATTCTTCTGAGAAAGATTTGATCCTCTTGTGTGATGCCTCTTTATACGGCGTGGGAGCTGTGCTTTCACATCGAATGGAAGACAACACTGAGAAACCCCTAGAGTTCACATCCCGTACACTGACAACAGCAGAATGACGAAATTCCCAATTAGATAAAGAAGCTTTAGCCATCATCTTCGGAGTTCAAAAATTCCACAAGTATTTACAGTATATGGTCACAAATTTACTATTTGCAGAGACCATAAGCTCCTGATATTCCTTTTTGGAGAAAAGAAACCCATTCCACAGATGGGTTGCCCTCAAGTTCAAAGATGGGTTCTCCTGATGAGTGCATATGAATACACAATGGTGTATAAGTCCAAAGACAGCCATGCAAATGCAGACGCCCTAAGCAGACTTCCTCTCCCGGAAGTGGAACAAGATCAAGGTAATCCAGCTCAAGTTTTGATGCTGGACATGCTGGAATTCGAACCAGTTAGTGCCACTCAAATCAAAAATTGGAGAAACAAGGATGCGGTACTGTCACAAGTTCATAATTATGTACTGAAGTGTTGGCCAACTCAAGTGGATCCACAATTCAGCCCTTACCACAAAAGGAAACTGGAATTGAGTGTGCGTGATGGATGTCTGCTCTAGGGAGCCATAGTAGTGGTGCCCAGTCAGGGCCGGGCCATGCTTTTAAAGCTGTTACACCAATCACATACAGGAATGGCAAAAATGAAAGGATTGGCTCAATTCTATTTTTGGTGGCCTGGGATGGATAAGGAGGTTGAGAGGGAGTCCCAAATTTGTGAGGGATGTATGAAGCACAGCAAAATGCCTCCTGTTGCGCCACTGCACCCCTGGGAATGGCCTGAGACCCCATGGTCCCGTATTCATGTGGATTATGCGGGCCCTTTCTTGGGAAAGATGTTTTTGGTAATTGTAGATGCACATTCTAAATGGATGGACATTTACCCCATGACCTCATCAACGTCGCAAGCTACCATTGAGAAACTTTGCCAAAGGTTCAGCGTTTTTGGATTACCTCAGATCTTAGTTTCTGACAATGGCTCTTGCTTCACAAGCACAGAATTTGAAAAGTTCATGAAAAACAATGGGATTCGTCATGTAAAATCTACACCATTCCATCCTTCTTCTAATGGATTAGCAGAGCTATCCAAACGCTTTCCAAACGTTTAAAGAAGGCATAAAGAAGGTGACAGGGGATACCTTGGAAACCAGGTTGTCACGATTCTTGTTCAACTATCGGATCACCCCACATTCGACGACAGGGGTGTCACCTGCCGAGATGCTCATGGCAAGGAAGCTGAGATCAACTTTCGATTTTCTCTTGCCAAACATTAAAGCCAAAGTGCTGCAAAAACAACAAAAACAACAAGAGAATCATGACAAAGGTACCAAGTGTTCATGACTGGAGATGACGTGTTAGTGCGTAATTATAGTTACGGTCCCAACTGGATACCTGCTGTCATCGTGAATTCCTCGGGTCCAGTTTCCTATACGGTTGCTGTCAGGAATGGACAAATCCTGAAGTGACATGTTGATCAAATCCGAATCCGACATACAAACAAATTTCAGGACTTCACCCGGTTAACAGTACCCTCTGAAAAAGGGTCCCTGCTACCTGAAATTCCCTGTTCTACTGAAATGGAGACCGCACCCGAAGTTGTTTCAAGCCTGGTCATGAAAGAAGGAGGCTGGGGAAGAGCTTCAGTTGCCTGACAAACTGGATACACCAGCTGCTCCGCAGGTGCGACGTTCCTCAAGGGAGAGATGTTCCCCCATTCTTCTCCAGGACTATATTAGATAGCTGAAACATAGGTACAACCAAGTTATCAGAATAATTCTGAGAAAATGTGCTTTTTTTTTACTCTGAAAAAGTATTGTTGTTATTAGGAGAATAACTTCCTCTTACTTCCTAGCGTTTTACAAAGAGTGAGTTCTTTTCTCTTTTTTGTGTTTTAGAATATTTAACAGTATTATATGAACCAAAATGGGGGGAGGAAATTGGAGTATCTTTACTATAATACTTTAGGTTGAGGTGCAGTTCATAAAGTGTCCACAAGAGGACTATGTTATTATATATAAGCTGTTTTTATTTTATTATGCACTCTTCCATGTGAGTGAATAAAGCTGTGTCCGTCTGTCCTCGCTTTTTTAGATTAAAAAGTCTCATTATTTATGGACACGTCTTTGTGATCATTCAGCACGACACCACAGGAGATATAAGAACCAGTAAGTACTCTGGCTGAGCATTCAGAATAAATAGTTTTGACAGCTTGTAGAAAAAAAGAGCCAAACCCAAAATGCTCTAGGACAGACCACAAAAAACTCCACTCAATTCTGTCGAATGCTTTCTCGGCATCCAGAGAAAGGATTGCAGAGGAAGCTGTATATGAGTCTGCTTGTTGAATTATATGAAGAAGGCTATGTACATTGTCTGCAGCAAATCTCCCCCTTAAAACCTGATTGATCTTAGTCAATCAAGTCTCCTATACATCGATCCAATCTTAAAGCCAGGGCTTTTGCCATCAGCTTTGAATCTGTGGATAGAAGGCTAATTGGCATTCGAGTGGATCCTTCCATTTCTTCAGCAGCAAAGTTATTAAAGCTGTGGTTTGGTCCCTGTGTAAAGCCCCTTTTTCTAATGCAAAATTAAGAGAATTAAGAGAATTAAGAATCAAGGGTGCTATAATGTCCCATATTGTCTTCAGTAATTCTGGGGGAATCCCATCTAGCCCAGGGGATTTTAATTCCTCGATTGTCAAAGGGCTATCCAATATATTGCGCTGAGAGTCATTTAATTTGGGAAGATTTAAATGTTTAAGGGATAAACCAAAATTTGTTGGGTCAGAGTTGGAAGTATACAAATGTTGGTAGTAGTTTTCAAATTTTCTATTTACATCCTTAGGTTGAGTATATACTGAGCCCTCATGTCTAATAGCTGATATACTGGCCTTAGATTCACCATCTTTCAACCTCAAAGCCAACAGCTTGGAAGAGCGTTCTCCATGGAAATAATATGATTGTCTAGTACAATGTATGATGAATTCAGCTCTATTTAAATATATAGATTTCAATTCTGATTTAAGAACATTTACTGTTTTGGCTTTGGTCTCACAAAATATAAATCAATTTGTTTTTCTAATTCAAATTTACGGCTCTCCCTATGCTTTTTATTGAAAGATGAAAAATTTATACTTTTACCCCTAATAAAACATTTAGTGGTTTCCCATAATACTTGGGGGTCAGAGGCTGAATCTCTGTTAATCTGTAAAAACTGTCAAAGAGCTGCATAAATCAGCCACAGATGTACAGTCCTGTAACAAGGAGGTATTAAATCTCCATCGTTTGCGTCTGGCGCCCAGCGATGCAGGGGTTAAAGATGTGATTATTGAAGAATGATCACATAAAAGAAGTGGTGGCTACCAGCATTCTTCAAAATACCTCTAGCAGAATCATACAGGTTTGAAAAAACATGAGGTCAGTAAATGATGACAGAATTTTTATTTTTGGGTGAATTATCCCTTTAAACTTGGTTTGTTCCAACCACACTTTAGAAACCAAATACTCAAACTGTTTTCTGTTCATTCCTGTCTGCATTTCAGTCTGTCCCATCACATCTCAGTTTTGCATTCTCAGGCAGTGGCACTATTGACTTTGAGGAGTTCTTGGTCATGATGGTGCAGCAGCTAAAAGAAGACCAAGCTGGCAAGAGTGAGGAGGAACTATCTGAATGCTTCCGTGTCTTTGACAAGTATGTAATTTGATGTTAACACCGAACTGAACAGCAGTGTGAGGAAAGGTCATTAGGGCCCAAGAAAAAACTTACAGTGTACACTATAGTCTCCATGCTAATGGTATCCCAGACACAAATATTTTAACGATTTATAAAAGATGAATCACTGTCTGGCCATCTGGGATTTCGGTATGGAGATAAAGGTTAGGATTATAATTTTTGGGACAACTTTCTAATTTACTGTCATTATCTCCGACCAACAGGAAAGCAACTATTTTGGTTTGAATTTGGATGTTTGGAAAATTGCAGGCCTTGGATTTTTTAACACTGCTCCAAGGGAATTCATGTGATTCACACCAAACTCAGTCAACATGATGCCAAGACGGTCCGTGTACTTCTGCGTCCATGACGAAACCATGATGAAAAAAATGAAAAAAGAATGGTTGTTGTATTTTTAAATGCTATGCTAAAAAAATACAAATTTAAATTTAGAACCATACACATAAAATATTGGCTTCTTTTTAAATGTTTGTTTATGACTTTTTGCGCCTTTAATAAACATTTAAAAAATGCACAAATTAATATCAAAATATGTCGATTTTAACAAGTTTTCTTTAGCCAAATTAGAAGTAATGCTTCTCCTGCACATTCATTTGAGAACTCAAGCTGCCTCTGGAACAATGCAGAGACCTAATACAAAAATTATTTTAAAATAGACATTGCAGAATCCTGGGAACTTTATCATCATGAAATTATATATTGGGATATAATTTTGTCATAATTTTGTGTGCTATCTGGGTCACAGTATTGGAGAGGACCATGTATGGTTGCTCAAAGTACGTACAATACATCATATTAGAGCACTACACACAAGGCTTTAATATGGGGTAAATATAGAAATATATAAAATTATAATTTCTCCTACTTATATACAGGCAGGCCCGATTTCAGAATTAAATCACTGAGGGTGCTTCTGAAATCAGTGAGGGTGCTGTAGCCTTAATTTTGACATATTTATATTCGAATGCCACTCCCGAAACTTTGCAGCGTGTCGGTCACTGGTCCACTTAGCATCATGAAAAACAAAACTTATTTAAATTCTGAATGGATTAGCCAACTAAGCATGCAAAGAGCGCTCCCTTTATAATAATTAAAAAGCTGTCACTCATTTCAGTTTATTGCGATCTTACAAAGTTCCGTTATAATCAATGAAGCTCTACACTGCACATTAATCTCTTATTTACATCATGTTACACTTTGCTTGTTATAGCCTATGAGAGACCCCCGAGCATGCAGCTCTGCACAAAACTGTGGCGTGAAGTGGATTCTAAATTAAAATCCTTGGCCATTGCATCAGGAAATCAACAGAAAATGGTGATTGGCTACGTTGATCAGTGCTACAAAAACACATTGAACATTGATAAATACACATTGATAAAGCAATAGGTTACTGGTAGCCACGTCAGTAGCGCAAGAGGGCGCTTATAGTGTCTGTACGCTATAGAGATGCTAAAAAAGCTAGAAATGAAATTAAGCATTTATATACATTAAAAACAAGCTTTATGTCATTTTTACGATTTTTAATGAAATGCGAATTTTGAATAATGAAAATTAGTTTGTGTCTGCTTATTCTATTCATCAGTGTCTGAACCATTAAAGAAGAAACCACATTTTCCATATTTAATTTCTGGGTAAAAAAAAAAAAAAAAGTACTTTCAGATTACATCAGATATAGAAAAAACAACCATACTGAACTATAATGCCCTATCAAATTCAGTTACTAAATCTGTAGATAGATGGTTAGGATTACCAATCTCAATAATTGGTCGAATTAATATACTAAAGATGAATATACTTCCCAAATTACTTTATTATTTTCAAAATATTCCATTGGCCCCCTCTACTTCATTTTTTACTAACCTACGAAGAATGTTTATCAAGTTCATTTGGAATAATAAACACCCAAGAGTCCGGACATCTTTGCTTTACCTGTCATATGATAGGGGAGGATTAAAACTCCCAAATATTCAATTATACTATTGGGCATCCCAGTTAAAGGCGTTAATGTTCCATTTTTCGACAAACGCTCCTCCTAAATGGCTAGAAATAGAAAATTCGTTTGTGAAATCTAAGATTCCTTTTAACTTGTATCTTTATTCAGCCAATATAAAAACATTACAGAAAAATTTTGAGTACAGTATCATTTAATATTTATTAACCCCTTACAACTGCGGTTTTATTGTTTGCAATGGATTATTAAATCTAACTTCCAAAGTACAGACTGTATTAACCCTTTGTTGGTTTTGTGCTTTACACTTTTTATGTAATATGAGCCCCTAGTGTTTGTTTGTTTGTTTTCTTTTCTGTACATAGTAAGTATTGTTACCGACACGGTATGTACATGTGTCAGTCTTGTGTTTCAAGAAAATGTAATAAAAATAAAATAAAAAAAGTACTTAAAAAAGTACATGGACCCAAGATATGGAGGATGGGTCTGTGTACTTTTGTGTCCATTCATTTTTAGTTTTTTTTAACCCAGAAATGAAATACGGAAAATGCTGTTTCTTCTTTAATAATTAAAAACATGCTTATTAGACCCTGTGTACAAGTGTGTGTGTGTATGTGTGTGTATGTCTGTTTCACATTCTTGATGTGATCATGTCATTGCTGTAAACCTAACAACCAGACTGCCAGAGGGATAAATGCATGTGCACGCTGTGCACTTAAGGTCCATTTTACACTTTTAAGGGAAAAAAATCTATATTTGAATTGAAAACTCTACATGCAAAACATCGCTGGCTATAACCTCACTGTATTCAATAATTATAGCAAATTACACCCAAAACTCAAGACCACCTGTATGACACTAAAGACAGAAAAAAAAAACAATGCATCTACATTGTATTTCTAAATGTGATTGTTGTTTCTCTTGGTGTTTAACTCCTTTATTTTATTAACACACTTGTGTGTTGCGACATTACTGTCGGATCCCATATATACCTGAGAAGAGATGATGCCAACCCCCCAGAGGACCTCAGATGATGCCCACCCTCAAACAACATACAAAACTACCAAATTTTGCTATAATTTTAATCGCAACATATAATCATTGCAGTTAATAGTGTTCACCGTCTGTTTGATTACATGCCCTTAACTAACTGCATGAATTTTACTGGTCATTTCTGCCATATGGACATCAACTTGACATAGTCACTACTGATAAGCTACTAAATATAATGACGTTCACCAAATATAATGTAGAAACTTTAAAATAGAAACTTACATTTTCTGTAAAGCTGCTTTGCAATGATTTCTATCGTGAAAAGCGTTATACAAATAAACTTAAATTGAATTTAATTTAATATAGTCAACAGCATCGTCTTTTAGTTTCAATCTTTCTGAAAATCCTGCATCGAATTGTGCCTTGTTTGCAAACAAATCCGAAGTAAAATGAAGTGAACAAAGGACCAAGTTCTTACTGACGCGGTCTGGATCTTCATTTAAAATAAAGTTCTCCCACTCTTTCCTAATGTTGGGATCAGAAGGAAGGTGATGCAAAGACTGTTTTTCCACAACTTGGCACTGTTCAGCATCTTGTTGTATTCGGAGCATCTTTATCTTTTGATTTCTGCATAGAGCTGCGTTCGCCTCTCTCGTTATTTACACTACGTGTGTGGATTGGTGGGCGGGGCTAAACAGGCAGTGATGTAGAAGCAGGCATTGATCTTCTTCCGTGGAGGCGGTGTTTAGCCACACTATTACATCATAGAGTGGCACATTCCACAAGCTGTCATTTTGGCAGACTGGCTTCAATATAAGCTATTTTTATTTTATTATTTAACAAGAAAGTTTTGAGTTCTGAAACTTACAGGATGTTTTTATAGTACAGTGACATCTTATATGTCAAAAGATCAAGGGAATTTTGGTTCTCAGTTCATGACCCCTTTAAACAAAAAACACTCATGTAATCATCCTGACATCACAATCACATCCTGACATCACAAGACAATAAGTCACTTACCTTGACAACAAAATCAAGAACAATTTTGTAATTAAAACAATATTATATATTTTCCCAACAGGAACCAAGATGGTTTCATCGATCGTGATGAGTTTGCTGATATCTTGCGTGCAACTGGCGAGCCGGTGGCAGATGAAGACATAAATGAACTCATGGCAGATGCAGATACAAACAAAGATGGGAAGATTGATTTTGATGGTAAAGCAAATCTTATTTATTCTATTTTCTGTGCTGCCCTCATGTGGAACATAACATTTTTTTTTTTTTTGTAAGGAGCAATGGAAGAATCATTTTGGGTTCCCCAAAGAACCTTTCAGTGAACGTTTTTTAAAAGAAGCATTTTTTCTTAGTGTGAAGAACATTTAAATAACCTGAAGAACCATATTCTACTACAAAGAACATTTTGTGGAATGGAAAGGTTGCGTAATTGTTCAAGTTTCTTTATGGAACCATCAGGAGTGCCTAAAACCCCTTTAGCTGTTATAAATTCACTGTAAACCACGGCTTTACGGGGCTTCCATATACGTAGTGAGGATTCAAAAAAAAAAACAGAGCAAATAAAGTGTAATGATATGAATAAAAACAGTATTCTTCCACCAAACAATGTAGTTCCTTAGAATCAGTTGTGGTTGCAACAAAGTGGTTGACGAGCAACACACAAACATAAGCAAAGTTTACAACAGCCTCGAACGTGGCTCAGCCAATCAGAATCAAGGACCGGAACTATCCATTTTATAATAAGGCATATACAGATATGAATACACATATGTGACCCTGGACCACAAAACCAGTCTTAAGTCGCTGGGGTATATTTGTAGCAATAGCCAAAAATACATTGTATGGGTCAAAATAATTGATTTTTCTTTTATGCCAAAAATCATTAGGACATTAAGTAAAGATCATGTTCCATGAAAATAAATTTCCTACTGTAAATATATCAAAACTTAATTTTTGATTAGTAATATGCATTGCTAAGGACTTCATTTGGACAACTTTAAAGGCGATTTTCTCAGTATTTTGATTTTTTTTTGCACCCCCAGATTTAAGATTTTCAAATAGTTGTATCTCGGACAAATATTGTCCTATCCTAACAAACCATATATCAATGGAAACTTATATATTCCGCTTTCTGATGATGTATAAATCTCAATTTCGAAAAATTGACCCTTATGACTGGTTTTGTGGTCCAGGGTCACATATGCTTATGGATATAATATACTCTGATGCCTTCTTTAGGGAGCTCTAAATAAAACACTTGCATATTAAATATAATTTCATGAAATGTATATTGTATATAATGTATATTCAAATTCAATATTATGCTCTCGGAATACAATATGAGGACTTGACTTGACTTATTATCTATTTAAAAACATCTGTATTACTGAAGTGTGATATGAGAGATCTTGTCATCATTAGGTAAATAACTTTAATTTTTAAGAGTTTATAAAAGCAGATATAATTACACACAGATATAAATATATGTAATAATACATGTACTCTTCCTGAACTCCAGTTGTCAGTGCGTTCTTTTGAATCCCAAGATGTGAGAGAAGACAAGCATTTTCTTTTAGAAATATAATCGCCATCGTATAATCACAATATTTGAATACAAAATATGTTCAGAGAGGAGAGAGTATTAACAATGCCATGAAAGGGGCTTGTATGTTATTTCATATTTTATTTTTTACTTTCATTCCAGAGTTTCTTAAAATGATGGAGAATGTCCAGTAAGAAAAAATTACATCCCATCTCCTCCAACTCCTAATGACAGCAGTCAAGATTCCCAAGAACAACCCCCTGAGATGTTTAAAGGAAAAGAGGACTGAGGAAACACAACATCACCCGGGTTCAAATAACACACTAACAATAAAGATGGGCTGGAATTCACTTTGAGGAACAGAGAATATTTTAGATCAGTGCCGTCTTGTTGGAAGTGTTTCTTGTGGGACCGCACTGTGATGGTATCTATAAATAACCCTTCAAACCTTTTAAGAGGAAACCACTTACGCCTCTCCCCTCAGCTGTCTCCTACTACACCTGCTTATTCCCAAGACATTCAGCAACCTTCCTTCAACCCCCTTCCCCTCTCCCTCACCCTTTACAGTGATTCAAAATAGCCCTGCTACAGCATTAGCCTCGGAAAAAGACTTAATGTTGTCATGGCGATAAGGAATCTCTTAGCTCACATGTTAGCGGTGTCTGCAAATCTATTAAAAAGGCACATTTTGGCCAATCTGCTTGTTTATTTGGTGATTTTTTTACTGTGATTGTATTATCTAAAATTATACAGAATCTCTGTGTCTGTAAAAACTTACAGCTCTAACATTTTTTTAAAGCTAAATGCAATTTCAGGCCTAAAAAGGTTGTTATGAGGCCAAATATCACATTTCTAGAATCTGCAACTCATGACACTCATGTGATCTTCTCACCCACCTTGCCCATAATTTCACTACACCCAATCAGAAAAACAAGATCCCACCATGTTGGTTTCCAGAACCCCATGTCCATAACACTTTGGCCGTCCAGTAGATCCATAGTGTTGCAGATTGTATTTATCTTTTCGTCCGTTGGTCTCTTCTGATATTTTTCATACTTAACCTGCCTACAGGGCAGAGTCTTGACATGGCCAAAAAAGGTCATGAAAAAGATAAATTTCGAATCCTAATGTCAACGTTTTGTGCCAGGAGCATGCAAGTTATACATATATGAGTTCTGAAAGGTGCAAAAGGTCAGATTTCCATGTTTTCTTCTCATGGTAGAAAGCCATGTGATCCTTTTGACACCTCGTTGTCTTCAGGTCATATTGATGGAGGTGTTATCTCATGCCAGTGCCATAAATGCAATTCTCCAGAGCTGCAATGATATGCAAACTGCAAAACCGGACCTTTCTGCTCTCCTCAAAATCTCCTTTTAAATCTCTCCATTTCTGCCTGAAAGTATATAGTCCACAACGCCCTCCTCCGAGTTCCCCCAAATCCTTCTCCAATCCACGTCTGTACAATTCCTCGCTCAGGAAACACGTGCCAAACATGGGAACTCGGGTTTAGGCTCTTCGGGGTTTGGGGTACCTGTGTCGCCATTTGTGTTGTTGGGTTTTGGTTGGGGTGGAGTAAAGATCTAAACCATTTGCTATTCAGGGCACGCTGAAGATTTGCAACACAGCACCTTCTCAAGAGGTTTAGGGTTTCTTGGCTTGACTAAAGGGG